AGTATTGGGTTCCTGGTCCCACTGGGCTGACTGTCCTATTTCAGTACTAGAATAAATAGTCCTTGTAGCTTAGAAAATACCAGGGTGTTCTGTGGTCAGGTGCTCATGTGGGTGAGTCCTGGGGAGGCCAGTGAGGACATTTCAAGGGGCACCTCAGAACTAATCTGCTGACCTGGGGCAGGGATCTCTGGCATGTGGGTAGGGGCAGCTTCCATCCAGAGTGTGTCCTAATTGGGGAAGGGATGGGCTGCAGGGAGTGCCGGGCAGTCTAGACATCTTGCCTGGCTGTTGGCCTGTGTTTTTGCTCCCTGAGGACACACAGTCAGCACACCACCAGACTACTAAGGAATTCTGAAGCTTTTGAACTTGGCATAAATACACATAAAGATCTAATTGTAGCTCTGCATTTTTCGCTAATAACCTAAGAAGGTCAATTGTGGGCTTGCTAGTTCATAGCTGTTGTTTTCACCATTGGCCTTTCTGGATTCCCCAGAACTTGTGGCTATTTAGGGGGAGGCTTCAGTTCTGCTGCCTGACTTTGGGCAGATATCCCTGACCCTTCTCTCCCATGACTTCTGGTATTTGCTGGTCTGGGCAGGCAAACTCAGAAGGGAGTGTGTGTTGCATATGAAAAAAAAAAAAAATAATACCGCCAAAGACACTTGCTATGTAAATAATTCAGAATTCTGCAAAGACTAGTTAGCTTTTCCTAGGTCCTATTTTGGGTAATTGAAATGGCTTATTTTAGGTTTACATTTTTTTTGTAGTCTTAAAAGTATACACAAAGATTAAACAAAGAACAGAGAGATCACACTATTTTCAGGTCTCTGGCATAACTGGTATAAAGATATTTTGTTGTTGCTCTAAATCGATTTTAGTCTTTCTGGAAAGCAAACGAGTTGAGTGCAACCAAAGCTATAAAATTATTCATAGCTTCTCTCACCCCTGGCCGGTCAATTTAGGACTCCATCCTAAGGAAATATCTTTTCCCTTAGAACAAAGGAACTAAAATAGGCTTTGCACAGAGATGCTTTTCTCACCCTTTGTGACAGTGAAAATGTGTGATCTACTGAAATGGAAGCCTAAGAGAGGGGTGTGGTGACACAGAAAGCTGCAGCGGAGCCCTTAGTAATGATGCTGCGTGTATTGTCCCCTAGGGAGAGAGGGGTGTGAGGGAGAAAGACTGCATCCCAGATAGTGTGCTCAGAGCCTGAAGTTCTTCACACACTCCTCATCCCTATCTCTGCTGTAGTTAGTCCAGGAACCCTTTATTACTTCCCCACCACTGGAAATGGCAGGTCCTGATGGCTTCAAACCTGAGTCATCAGGCCATCTTGATGAGCTCAGAGGAGAAATTAGAACAGTGTAAACACAGTCGTGTATTTTTTACTGGTTTATATTTTGTTACCTTCTAAAATTGCTTAATATATATAAATAAAATAATTCTTAACATAATAATGGTTCTTTTAAATTCTTGATAATGTTCATTAGATAATTAGGACAACAAGCAAAGTATTTATAGGCTTCTGAGTGACTTAGCATCTGCTGTCTCTCAGAAGAGCAACAATAGCTTCATTTTTCACTGAAAATCCCAGACTTGGTTTTTTTTATTCCTAGAGTTCCTGGTTAAAAAAAGTCCCTCATTCTGTACCACATTGAGATTTTATTTAAGCTAAGGTTTTAAAACAAGCATTTCCAGTTGGTAGGAAATAATGTATGCAGGCGGGCATGCCTAGACACCTGTGCAGAAGATTCAGTAATGTGAGCACTCATCAGAGAGTCTCAGGAAGGGCAATTGTAGAGCCCTGTGCTTTATATGTGTACCCACTCATGTATTTACACCTTTGCCCAGTGCATTTGACTACTGGGCACACACATTGATTCTCTTTGTCTGAATTGACTGCTTTCGAAACTTTCATTTTGATGTGCAAGAGTAGATTCTGTTTGGCTCTTAGTTGCTGGAAAGATAACATCTATGATTATCCATAGTCCTGGAGGCAGCAAAATGTCCCAAACACTCCTTGGTAAGAGTCAGGTCGGTTGGAATGGCCTGCCCTTCTGCTGTTGACTGTCTATATCCTGAAGACCAGGTGGCTGATAGCTGCTTTATTTCTCCCGGTGTGACACTCATTTTGGAAGAAGGAATGAGGAGCGCTAGAAATGCCGAAGTTTGAGTGATTGTTTAGACCTCTCATCCTCAGATAATTACAGTGGATCCCTTCCCATTCCTTCTGCTAATAAAATGAGTGGGGAACTTTGTTACATGCATATGATACTAAGTAGGAAAATAAAGAGGATGCCACTTCCAAAAAGCTTGAAAACCTCTGTTCTAATGCTTCCCTCCAGTTGCCCTGGGTTTCGCCCCCACAACTTCATATTGTCTGTAACTAAGATGTCTAGCTTGTCTGCTTGACTCCACGCAGCTAGTGGCCTGTCAAGCATGATTTGGGATCCTTCCTGCCTTAGGATGTCTCAACTGTTGAACAAAATCTCCACCCCTCTGGACACCATACAAAGCTTTAGGCTCTGCCCCTGAGCCCCTCCTTCCACTGTCTGCCGTGTGCACCCCAACACAGGCCACACTGTAGTATAGCTCTGGTGCAGCTGTAGTGTGGTGGAGCAGACTTTAGCTTAACTCAACCAAACATTCTGATAATGTATTGATGTCATTATTAAGGAGTCTAAGAACTAAAGTAAAAAGTACTAAGTAAATCTGCTTTACATACAGGTTTCAAAATAATCATTTATACAAAGATATGTAGAACATGCTTGTCACAATGGATCAGACAAAGACAAGCTGCAGGACTGACCCTCGATCTGAGACCATAGGTCTGAGACATTGGTGGGGAGTAAAGAATGGGGGTGCGGGGTGGAGGTGGTGGAGGGCGACGATAGCGTAGTGGAGTGTGGTGGAGGACTGGAGGGGAGAAATCCTACATTGTGAAAAAATAAACAAGAATGGTAAATAAATAAGATATGCTTGTCACTAAGCATTCAGTGAAGTATTATGTGTTCTGTTGTGTCCCTGCTCTGAAGAAACTATTCAAAGTCATAGCAGCTTTCTCTAGGAAGACTTTCTAGAAAGGACTTATTTAGTCTGTAGCATACTGCCCCCAAATTTAGCAATTTATTTTATTTTTTTAAAGATTTATTTATTATTTATTTTACACAAGCACTGGGTACAGTCAGAAGCGCGGGAGGGTGAGAGAATTCACCAGAGCCAGAGTGGGGAACAGAACAGGCAGACTGACAAAATACACTGCTGAGGGGAGCAGCGGACGTGGCAGGAGAGATCTGCGCGCCGTGTGGGACCCTCACCAGTGGCCGGGGATCAAACCTGCACTGCAGAGGCTGAGGGCAGCTTTGCAGTTCAGCGCTCAACTGCTGCACCACCAGGGGAGGCCCAAATTTAGCAGTTTATAACAACAAATATTTATTATCTCTCATAGTTTCCCTGTGTCAGGAAGCCAGGAATGGGCTTAGTTGGGTGGTTCAGCCTCAATGTCAAGTGTTAGCCTGGCGGCAGTGACCTAGGCTGGACTAGAAAAGGTCCACATGCCAGTTCAGCCTCGTGGTTGCTGGGATCCTTAGCACTTGGCTCTGAGTGTCCTCATAACACGACAGCAATGTTCTGGAGTGAGTGGTCTCAGAGAAAGGGATTAAGACCAAGCTGGAAACAGTAGTCTTTGTTTTTAATTGGAGTAACATGGATTATATCATTACATATGTTTCATGCGTACAACTTTGTGAATTAACATCTGTATGCTACACTCTGTTCCCTACTAAAGGTCTAGTTTCTGTTCTTCTCCATCCAATTGGTATCTTTTATCCAAGTTACCCCCCTCCCTTTCTCTTCTCTTCTGGTAACCACTGTTTTGTTCTTATATTCTAAAAGCTTTTGTTTTATCTTCTAATTACGGGTGAAATCAGCGTTTGTCTTTATCCATCTGACTTATTTTACTTAGCACAGTGCTTTCTAGGTTCATCCATATTATTGCAAATGGCAGGATTTCATCTTTTTTTTCTTAAATAACTGAATAATAATCTTTATCTACTCATGGGTAAATGGGCACTTGTGTTGTTTCCAGCTCTTGGCTATTGTGAATAATGCTGTGATGAATTATGGGGGTGCATCTATGCTTTTGAATTCATGTTCTCATGTTCTTAGGGTAAATATCCAGAAATGGGATAATGGATTGTATAGAATTTCTATTTTTTGTTTTTGAGGAACGTCTGTAAGGAAATAGTAGTCTTTCTTACCTAATCTTAAAATCAGTTCTGTTCTGTTCTAGCGGCCACACAGACCCAATTCAGTTGGTACTGTGTGGGAGGGGTCTACAAAGAGTGTGACTCTCAGTAGCTGGACAACCCTCTTGGAGTCTGGTTGCTCGCCTGTTCCTGTGGGGTTTTCAAGGAAGTAATGTCCACAAATGGGTATCAGTCATTAAGAAGGGATTCTGGAATTTAAAGGGCAAAAATTCTGCTCACTTTTTCTTAAACTTTTTAAGATGTCTTTTAATTTTCACTTCTTTTTTCTTTCCCTCTTAGTGCAGATTATGAAATACACAGGTATCTGCCTACAGCAGTAACCTCTTCCTAGAAGATAGCTTATATGACTCAAAATTGGGGAAAAAAAAAAAAAAGAAGGTAGTATTAATAAAAAGAGTTCCCAGACCAGTTGTCTCATTTCTTTCACACCTGAGGCATTTGAGTCCTACTTTTTTCCTGGGTGTATATAAATATAAAGCTTGGTTGGAGCAATTGCCAAGAAAACTGGATGGCACAGGGAATTGAATTTTCTGGATGCTGCCCTCTCCAAAGGAGTCCTTCCAGATTAGTTTGCTAATTAATTGTTCCATGTGGACTGGGTGACTGACTTCCAAAGTGTAGCTCACTCACCTTGGTATAACTGTTGGTTGGTGAGTGACTGGGGCTGAGGACCCCTGGACCTTTGCCTGATGTGACTCTAATGTTCCAATTAATGTCTTTGTCATCTGCAGGCAAGTTCCAGAAGTGGCCCTGAGTATGGAGTGTGTGTCATTGATGAGATTGGGAAGATGGAGCTCTTCAGTCAGCCTTTCATCCAGGCTGTTCGTCAGACACTGTCCACCCCAGGGACTGTAGTCCTCGGCACCATCCCAATACCAAAAGGAAAACCTCTGGCCCTTGTGGAAGAAATACGAAACAGAAACGACATTAAAGTGTTCAATGTGAGTATGGCTGAAACTGAGCAAACCCAGGGGAACTGGGTTGACCCAGTCCTCACCCATGTGCTTAAGAATGCAGAATACCTAAAAGCAGATGCACAGTCAGAAACAATAACAGCAGTTATTTACACAGGGAGTAAAGAAAAATGAGGAGAGAGAGAGAGAGAATATCCACAGGCTGGCATGTGGCCAGGTGCTGTGTCTGTCCTTCCCTAGGCAGCATCTGCTGAGCAGACATCAAGGTCCAAGCTAAAGCCCCGTGTGGTAAGCTGGTGACTTCTCCACAGACACCCCTCCTCACTAGCAGTTTAACTGCCAAAGCCCCAGCAGCTTGACTGCTAAAAGCCTTAGCTTTGTCCCTTTTCCTATAAGCCCACACTCGGGAGGTGGAGACTAGAAAGCTCTACCTTTTTCCAGAGAGGTGGCTGTGAGCACTACCCAGCGGCTCAGAGGCTGCTCTTCACCTTTCCTCTGACACAGCCAGTCTTCCTTATCTGCAAAGGCTCCCAACTGTTAGCCATTCGCCCTGCAATCTGCCTCCGTCTCCTTCCCCCACGAGAGGCCAGGACCTTGTCAGCAAATGACTTGCCTGAGTAGTGGATACTTCTGGCCTAACCCCAACTCTCCTTAGTGTGTGACCAAGTTGGGAATTAGGAGAGAAGAGGCTGAAATTACAGTTTCCAGCAGAGCTTCCAGATACTGTAGAGTCCAATGGCACATTCCACAGTGATGGAAGTGTACTATCTGCATTATATAGATGCTATAGCCATTAGCTACATGTGGCTCTTTATCCTTCATGTAAATAAAATCATATTGAATAAAAAGAAAAATTTAATTCCTTGATCACACTGGCCATATTTCAGGTACTTAGTAGCTACATGGACAGCACAGTCTTGCTGCCAGCAGTATGGTCCTCACCCAGGAACTTGCAAGATGGGCAGTGTTGTAGGACCCACCCTGACCTAATGAATTGAATTCTCTGGGCAACAGCCGAGTAATCTGTTGAATCTGTTTGATAAGCTGTCTGGTGGTTTTCAGGCCCCTTAGAATTGGAGAAGCCCGAGGGTAGACCATGTGTGACAGATGAGTAGTTCTGTGTTACTAGCCAGTGGTGCTGCCTGAGCCTGTTGTAAGGGTCCCTGCTGACACTGCTGACACTGCACTGAAACACTTGCCTTTTCTTCCCTGTTACTTTCTGCCCTTAGTCAGATATTGACTGAGTTCTGCTCACATCCCTCACGCCTCTTCCCTAACCCCTATACTCTTTCTCCACCCCTCCCAGTTTAAAAGCTCACTGGCCTTACAGGTGCCAAGTAAACTGACTAGTCAGTCTGGTAAAATCATTCCTGTCGGGACAAGTAGTGAGTAAGCTCTCACTCCAAATGCCAGTGAACTTACATCCCTGGCTAAGATGTCACCGTGGCCAGCTGATATTAGTGGGGCATCCATATGTTGTCACCAGAGTGTCCTGGGGTACTTTGAGGATAGTAAACAACCATTAGGGTTAGACCAACCTGACTTGGAAGAATGTGTTTCTGTATAACTTCATTTATTCCTTCTTCATTTGGTAAATATTGTTATATCTAAGGCATCATTCTAAGACTTGGCAATAAATAAGACTGATCAAGTCCTTGACCTCACGAAGTGAACATTTTAGTACAGGGACTAGAAAACAAAATCTAAACAAACATTTAAGAAGATGTGATTTATATACATGATGGAAAACTACTTAGCTGTGAAAATAAATGAACCTTTGCCATTTAGACAACATGGATGGATAATACCAAGCAGGGGATAATACCAAGCGAAATAAGTCAGAGGAAGAAAGACAAAGGCCAGATAATTTCACTCATGTGAAATATAGAGAAATAAAAAAAGGAACTGATAAAACAAACCCTAGAAATATTACTGCAGAATTTAGGGTACTAGAGAGGGAGTAAGGGAGTGTGGAAACAAAGTGAGGAGGGGCCCCAATGGTCTAGGTATAGGGGCTGTGTGGGTGCTTTGATGCTGGGTGGTGTGTGGTGACATACATCTGAGGAGGTATGTCCCTGTTCCCCTAAATTTCATGCACACACATAGTGTTACAAACCAATGTTACAAACAAAAAACTACTAACCTAAAACTAACTCTTGGAAAATATATAGAAACAAGGAATAATTCTTTGTAATCTTGAGTTGGACAGTCTTATTTGATACACCACCAAAAGTACAAGTGACAAAAGGATAAACTATAATTTTTCAACCTTAAAATTTTGTTCTTAAAAGGACACTACAAAAGTAAAATGTCAACCCACAGATGGGGGAAAATATTTGCAGATTACAGCCGCTCAGGGAGTTGTATCCCTGCGTGTACTGGCAACTCTTATAACTTAATAAAAAGAAAAACTAGTTAGAAAATGGGCAAAGGATTTAACTAGGCATGTCTCCAAGAACGGACACATAACCAATAAGTCTTAAAAAGATGTGAAGCATCATTAGCAATATCAATGCAGTCAAAACTACCATTAGATACCACTTCACACCCACTAGGCTGGCTATCCTAAAATTTAAGAAAAGAAATGGAAAATAACAAGTGTTAGTGAGGATGTGAAGTTGGAACTCTCATCCACTGCTGTTGGGAGGGCAAAAATGTGAAAAACACTTGGGCAGTTCCTCAAAAAGGTAAAATTGGAGTTACCATATAACCCAGCAGTACCACTTCTCAGTATATGCTCATAGATCGGAATTGAGACTATATATTCACACAAAACTTGTACATGTGTGTTCATAGGAGCATTGCTCATAATAGCCAGAGTGGGGACAACCCAAGTGTCCATGAGCTGATGGTTGCACAAGTAGAATGTGGCCTACACATACAACCAGCTATCTTTCGGCAATAAGAAGGAATGGATACTTGGCTACAGCATCAATGAGTGGCTAAGTTCACAGTATGTTCAGTGAAAGAAGCCCATCACAAAGGTTACATATTGCATAATTCCATTCCTATGTTCAGAACAGGCAAATTTACAGAGACAGAAAATAGTGGTTGTCAAGGACCTGGGGGAAGAGGAGGGGGAAGACGGGCAGTGAATGAGAATGGAAATAATGGGAGTGGTGATAAAAATATTCTAAGTAGACAGTGCTGATGATTGTATAACTATGAATATACTTGGGCCTCCCTGGTGGCACGGCGGGTTGAGTGCAGCACTGTGAAGCTGTCCACAGCCTCTCAGTGCGGGTTCGATTCCGGCTGGCCAGGGAGATACCCACATGGCACAGCAGACCTCTCCTGTCTTGCCTGCTGCTCCCCTCAGCAGTGTATTTTGGTCCATCTGCCTGTTCTGCTCCCCGCTTCGTCTCTGGTGAATCCTCTCACCCTTCCACGCCACTGACCTGTACCCCAACTCTTGTATAAAAATAAATCTTTAAAAAAAATTGTGGGGCCCCCCTGGTGGCGCAGGTGGTTGAGCTCAGCGCTGTGAAGCTGTCCAAGGCCTCTGCAGTGCCAGTTCGATCCCAGCTGGCTGGCGAGGGTCCCACATGGCGAGCAGACCTCTCCTGTCTCACCTACTGCTCCCCTCAGCAGTGTATTTTGTCAGTCTGCCTGTTCTGTTCCCCACTCTGTCTCTGGTGAATCCTCTCACTCTCCTGCACATCTGGCCTGTACCCGGGTTCTTGTATAAATAAATAAATAAATCTTTAAAAAAAAATAAAAATAAAAATAAAAAAACTATTATATACTAAAACCCCCTGAATTATGCCCCATTAGGGGTTGAATTTTATGGCATATGAATTATATCTAAATTAAGCAATTTTCTGTATATACTCTTCCTCCTCCAGGGAGATGTGGCATTGTGGCTTTAACTCTGGGTTCTAAAGAATCCCAAGTAATTCTTAGTTTAGAAACATCAACTTTCGAGAAAAAAGTAGAGCTGAGCTGGTGGATTCATGAATGATTCTATTTTTAGGTTCACTATATTGAAATAAAACATGAAACAAACAGGCTACTAATAACTTGTTATGTGTTAACTTACAATAATAAACAAAGTGTTGTCACATTAATTCTTTTTATAATCCCTTGCCTATTGGAAACTTTTCTGGGCCCTTCCCAGTTTCAAGGAAATGAGGGTGATTTTGTTTTAGTTTCTTGCATAGTACACATGCAGAGAGGCATGTTTTCCTGTATCCGGATGTTTACAGCTTTCCTGAATTTATGGCCAGAATTACTGACCTTGGACTCACTCTTAGGCCTTTCTCTGTCCCCAGGAGGCACAGAGCAACTTGGATGCTTAAGATGATCAGTCTTTGTAACCTTTATTTATTCACTCAGCTGTATTTCAAAGACCCCCCTCAGCTTAGAATTTAATAAACATTCATCAAGTACCCACTCTGAGAGGCAGTTCCTGTCCTGCCCAGTCCCCATGGAGATGGAGTCTAATCTTTTCGTCACCCAAAGGCCACTGGGTTACTCCCCTCTGACAGCCCCTGCATTGGGCAGAGTCATTGGACTTCCTTCTCTGTCTTAAGCCTACATTAAGGGGTGTGGGGGTGGACAGGGCACCTTTGTTCTTTTCTGCAGCCTTCCTCCCCTCCTTTTACAGTTCTCACCCCCCACTTTACTTTTTTTTTTTTTTTAAGATTTATTTATTTATTTATACACGCACTGGGTACAGTCAGAAGCGCGGGAGGGTGAGAGAATTCACCAGAGCCAGAGTGGGGAGCAGAGCAGGCAGAAGGACCGAAGTACACTGCTGAGGGGAGCAGCGGGCGGCAGGAGAAGTCTGCGCGCCATGTGGGACCCTCGCCAGAGGCCGGGGATCGAACCGGCACTGCAGAGGCTGCGGGCAGCTTCGCAGCCCAGCGCTCAACCACTACACCACCAGGGAGGCCCTTAAAGATTTATTTTATTTATACAAGAACCGGGGTACAGGCCAGATGTGCGGGAGGGTGAGAGGATTCACCAGAGACAGAGCAGGGAACAGAACAGGCAGACCAACGAAATACACTGCTGAGGGGAGCAGCGGGCGAGACAGGAGCGGTTGGCTCATCATGTGGGTTGCTCAGAGGCCGGCGGGGATCTAATCGGCACTGCAGAGGCCTTGGACAGCTTCACAGCGCTGCGCTCAACCGCCTGCGCCACCAGGGAGGACCCCACTTTCCTTTTTTAATTAGCCACTCAGGAAAGACTTTCTAAGCCAAACTTGTGGTGACTAAATAAAAAGTAACCTGGTCTTCTACATAAAGGGAAGGGTCCCTGAGGTTTACAGATGATGCTTGTTCTTGTCTTTGGGAGTTTGTCTTTGGGGTACAAGAAACATAATAGTAGTAGTAGTAGTAGTAGTAGTAGTAGTAGTAGTAGTCAGTTTCACATAGACATCTCAATGCATGCTTTTCAGAAATAATCTTAGGGAGGCCAAAGGGGGGGGTGTTGCAAAACATGAATGTAGTTGCTGCATTCTGTTCACTATTTTTTTTTAAAGATTTATTTATACAAGCATTGGGTACAGTCAGAAGCGCGGGAGGGTGAGAGAATTCACCAGAGCCAGAGTGGAGAACAGAACAGGGAGACCGATGAAGTACACTGCAGAGGGGAGCAGCGGGCATGGCAGGAGAGGTCTGCACACCATGTGGGACACTCGCCCGGTGGCCGGGGATCGAACTGGTGCTGTAGAGGCTGTGGGCAGCTTCGCAACCCAGCACTCAACCACTGTGCCACCGGGGAGGCCCTCTGTTCACTATTTTTTAATGAGAAAATGTTCTTAGAATGTCTTTTCCAATTCTTATATTTATTCTTCCCATGTCCAACTGAGGCTTGGAAAGAGCTGACTGTTAGGGGCAGTTGGCACTGTTCCTCCTGTACCACCCTGAGCCCCCAGCAGTTACTGAGGAGGGAGGGAGGGGATCTTGGCAGGGCGGCCACTGACTCACCAGGACCCCTGGGTGAGGCCCATCAGCCTTTGGCAAGCTCTTGTCTTCCTGTGCTTAGTCTTGTGTGAAACGGGGATAATCATGCGGGTCTCATTTGCCACAGGCCCAGTGTGAAATTGAAATGAAACAAGATAGGGTCTTAAGAGCTTTGTATGGAATCCAGGGCTGCAGCATGAGTTTGATGCTGGAGATGACGAGGCATCTCCCTGGAGTGTGTATCTGGGGCTGTGTGGCATGGCAAGGCTCTTTGGGCTCCTAATTTTATTGTCTCTGATGCAAGCCTTGGCTGTGCCCTCACTCATAGCTGGTATTGTGGGTAATGGAGTTTCCTGCCTTAACACCCTTGGCTTACCTTCATATGCCCCCAACTATTTCATCTCAAGATTTAGGGGGTTAAAGAATAAAAACAAAGTTGTGCTAATGACCCATAGGAAGAGGTCTTCCCTTCCCCCATCCTCCCTGCAGATTGCTGATTCTGTTACCTGTAAATTCCAGCTGCTGTAATGGACATTTACAGTGGGGCAACGTCAGAGCTGGCCTGTGCGGAACTGGTGATCCACCTGTGGCAGCTCCTTTTAATAGCTGGACAGGGAAGTGTCTCCGCTGGGAGGCAGTAGTGACTCCGGGGAGCAGTGCTGCGCTTCCCTCGTCACTCCCCCCTGCAAACTCAGGGTTAGTTCTCCCATCTGGAAGGAATTGGTGTTCCCTTCCCTTCTTTCTCCCCTTCCCTCACTTCTTTTTTGCTCTTTTTCCCTCTCTCCTCTACATCTCTCCTCTCCACTCAACATCTCATCCTTTGCTTTTTAAACGAGGTGATAAAATAAATGTTTAGAGAAAAGGAAGTGATCCCAGATGCCCTTCACCTCTGAAGTCGCCTCTTGAGGAACCCCATGCACTCTCAGAGACTCTGAAGGCAGAACCAGGTGACTTCCTAGTGAAGTCAGGGTGGAAGAGGAACCCCGGGCTTGGGGTCATGTTGTCTGTCCTTTTCCACCCTGCTGCTAAAGCCACATGACACTCCCCAGCCAGCCTGCTGAGCTTCCATCACTGCCTGCTTGTCTACCTCTTTCCTCTTCAAATCAGGATTTCCTTGAATGCAAACAGCAGAAATGGACCTCAGTTAATTTAAGCAAAATACCAGCAAAGAACTTTCTAAGGTGATGAGGTTTCTCTTTCTGCAGAAGGCAAAGCTGATGTTGTTCATTTCGCTGGAGCCAGAACTGCCCCGGGAGTGATGTGGCTACTGGATGGTGTCCTCCAACACTGCTGTTAGGGTGTCAGCCTCAGCCATTTGCTGCTACGCTCACTTTTTTTTTTTTTGGTATTCAAAAGAATAATTTTATAAGACATAAACAAAGAGATTGTTAGGAGCTGTTCATTGACAAGGATATGGTTGACTACTTCTCTAAGGACTCAAATTTTCAGGAAGATTTCCAGGGCTCAGCTCACACTCCTTACCCGAGGGCTAGTTTCCTAGTTGGTCACCTTCCAAAAGAAAATCTTGTAAAGATGAGTGGATGCTGGAGAACAAAAAGTAGTAAATTGTGTTGTGCACTTCCTCATCAGACACTTGTTTGGCATCTACTGTGTGCCAGGTGTGGTCAGACTCAGGTGTGATGTGCAGTGGGACCAGGCCCATTGCTCCCAGAAATCTGGGTGTGACTCATGACCAGGGAGTGGGGTGCTCTTAGTGAGCCCACCTGCAGGGCAGCCCTACTGCTGGCTTCTCAGCCACTTCCTCTGCTTAGGTCAGGTCCCACCCTTAATCCCCTCTTCCAGCCCAGAGGGCCTCGCACAGGACTCAAGTCACAACTCCTTTCAGCAAAATCCCCTTGCACTTGAGGAGCAGTCACTCTGCAGCAGCTGGCACGGGATTTCCTAGCCCCATCCTGCTCTCTGCTCCTGAGGAGCTCTTGAGGGCTTCCTTCTGGGCCCCAAACATACCTCACCCTCTGTTGGCCCCCCAGGCTCTTCTTTCCAAATATAACTTATCAGTGGCTAGAAGAAAAAGGAAGGGACTCTGAAGCCCCATCTCTTGCTTCCCACAGGTCACCAAAGAAAATAGAAACCACCTTTTGCCAGATATTGTGACGTGGGTGCAGAGCAGCAGGAAGTGACGGTCCGCATTCCTGGTTTCCTGCACGTGAAGAAATGTGCTAGTTCGAGAGGTGCCCATTCAGTGGCCTGTCAAGCTTTTATGCCTTCGGGACTATGAAACCTTGTGGGCTTTGCCAAAGGAAGAATGACAGCTGGTTTCCATAAAATGTTTAAAAGATCAAATTAGCCTTAATGTGGAATTGACTACAAGATCAACAATCCATTGTGGCTTATTTATGCCCAGAGATTTCTGTTTATTTCCTCTTGCAGTTGTGCGTATGATTTAGGTAAATTACAACATGAAAAACAGTTTTCCCAGTATTAGACAGAATTGCCCCCATTGAAGTTTATAAACGTGCTCGGGAGAAGCGGGTGAAGAGAGCTCGCTAATCAATTCTGCATGTCATGAAAATGAGCTCCCTCTCCAGGTGCACTGCAAATGACAGTGGCAACAGTTTCTTGATTTCTGAAATTATTATTTCAAAAGAACACCAATTTAGGTCTTCCCCTTACTGTTTGTATGTTTGCTTATTACCTAATAAAGTAAATAGGAATATAATGGTTACTGGCAGCGATTTCTACTGTGGGAGAGACAAGCAGTGTTTAGAAATGTCCATAGTGTTGGACACGTACAACCCATGGGCCCCCTCTTTGACGACATTCACTTAGACATGTACCTTGTTTCCCTTCCAGCAAAAGGGGCAGGTAAGTGTGGCTGGAGGAGGAGAAGCCACATCTAGAAGGAGGCAGTTACCTGCTGTCTGCATGACCCCCGGGAGTGCCTGGTGTGGGAACCAGGCTGTCAGGAGCTATGGGGTAGAGGAGGGTTCAGCCCATAGTAGGTCACTGTAGAGAAAACTGCTGAAACTCCAGAATTCAGAGAGGATAAAAACAGACCTCCTAGTGGTTGATGGTACTGGAGTGATAAGGTCAATCAATGTTTTTAGGCCATTTTAATGAACTATGAATTTTTAGGATGTTTTAGTAACTCTCCTTAGCTACAAACCCAGCTGGGGTGCCCATTAATAACCGTGGTCCATTCCCATCCTGTGTGGTGAGGTGACCTATGGGCTGGGTCCTGGGCACAGTGGAAGTGCAGGGAGCTCTCCCATTTCTACACCAAGACAAGGGCCGGTGGTCCTGACAGGCTCTTAGGTTGGTGTCTCCTCAGCTTTTTATCCCAAGGTAACTTTAAGAAGCTTGATATGGATTTTCCAAGCCTTTGAGGGACCACGACTGGAAGGCCTAGTAGGTCATAAGCAAATCCTTTAAAAAGGGTGACCTGTCCTGTATGACAAAGAGGGCATCTCTGTCCCACTGCTCCTGATTTTGTCTCAAATTAGAAGGAAAATTAATGAACTTTATTCAAAGAGGTAAAGTAGCTCATTTGAAGGCACACAGAGCTGCAGCCAAGTGTGCTTATGGAAGAGTTTGAGGTTAGAATCTTCTCAGATGTTGCCTATATGCAACTGAGATTCAGGCTGACCCCTGACATTCTTAGGATGCTGGGGCTTCTAAACACTCTTTAGGTAAAGAAGCAAGTTTGTTGGGGCACTTATAGGATTTACCCAAGCCCTGATGGGTCTGGAGCCCCTTGTTCTTCCCAGTAGATAATTATTGTATTACCTTGCCAAACACCGATCAGGGAACATTGTAAGATGTCAGAAGAATTGTTGTATTTTATGAACTAATATTCAGTAAAGGGCAATATTATGGTCTGAATGTTTGCATTCCTGCCAAATCCATGTGCCGAACTGTGGTACTTAGAGGTGGGTACTTTGGGAGGTGATTTGGTCATGAGGATGGGGCCTTCATGAAGGGGGTTAGTTCCCTTATAAAATAGACCCCAAAGACCTCTCTCACCCCTTCTGCGTTATAAGGACACAGGAGAAGGCTGCTGTATATGAACCAGGAAGTGGGGTCACCAGACACCAAACCCACTAGCACCTTGATCTTGGAGTTGCCAGCTTCGAGAACTGTAAGAAATATTTGTGTGTATACCACCCAGTGTGTGATAGCAAATAAGATGACTTCACAAGTAACCCCCACTCAGAGCCAAGTGTGCACAGCCTATAGAAAGAGCATTCTGCTGAGGCTTAAAGGAGGAGAGATGCTGAGGCCAGTCACCAGTTGAGGTCCATTCTCTTGCTGAGCACAAGCCAGGGCTAGAAGTGGAGACTGAGCACTGTCTGTGTTGGTGCCACTAGCCAGACCAGGAACCCTCAGGGAGGAAGGGGAGCAGTGGCTGGAGAAGGCAGACATCAGGAATACTCTTTTACACCTTAGTTTGAAGTGCCTACTGTTTAAACAAATCCAGTACCTAACATATAGATAGGTAGGGGTACTGGTTCAAGAAAAAATTCAGCTTGAAGAGTGCAAAATTTACATAGGTGCTACTGTATAAAGAATTTGCTAGAATAACATGGATGAGACAAAGCAAAACTGATTTACAGAATGAGTTTACAAAATCTTTCCGCCGTTAGCAGAAGGTACCAAAAACCACTAACTCACAGTATTTTAAAAACCATCTCTTTTTTCCTCCGAATAAGAGAAGCACATGTAGGGAAGCTGACAAGTCTTTTAAGTTCATAGAATATAATTTCTCTGGTCATCGTAACTGACAGGAAGAGTCCCCAGTAGAGTTGTGAGTTCATTCCCAGCTCTCAAATCATCAGTGGTCTAGCGGATGATGGCAGCCCAGAAACAATGTAATGAGCCTTGCCCCTCCTTCCCATGTACCTCTGTATTTTTAGAAGTTTGTGTTTGGGAAGATGGCACACTCGTGTGTGTGTGTGTGTGTGTGTGTGTGTGTGTGTGTGTTGACAACAGATGCTATGTCCCTGAAGATTGATTACTTGGGACAAAACAGTGGAAAGGTGTAGGAGGCTTGAGAGGAGAAGGGTAAGTAAACAGGCATTGCATTGCACATTTTATGGGCAAAAAGAAACTGGAGCATTGAGTGATTTTTAGAAACAACTTGCCAGACACAGATGGTTTCAACACACAGAGCAAAATTTAGAATCAATAATGCCAGATTAGCCACATGATTTATATAAAACCAAAGCAGTACAGTTTTTATATTATCTTGAGAGGAGAAACAATTTTGTTCAACATCCAAATGCAGAAAATAACTCTCCAGCTGTATGCTGGCAAAAATTTGAATAACTCTGGCAAGAAACGTCATGTTAGGAAAATCTCCTTTAAATGGAGACTAATAATACAATATTTTGCAAGGAATACTCTGGTAAACAGCTGACTGATGGAAGACCAGATTAACTAGCTCATGAGTAGTAAATATAAAAGTTGTTTACCACAATTTAAAAAAGTGTGATGCATCACTGACGCTGGCCAAACAGCCACCAAGTGTCCTGACTGTGACCTCTCCTCTCGTGGGCATGTCCCCCTGTGGCTAGGTGTGTGCACACATTCCCAGTACGTACATTTGAAACGTTCCTCTTCATAGACAAAGCAGAGCTGTGTTTTTATCTGAGGAATCTGACCTCACTGTTGATGGTAAACTAGAAATTTCCTTTACCCACTGTCTCCTCAAAGGCTGCATAGAGAATTAGGTGAGTAAGATCCAACACCAGAGAAGCAGCTCAGAGCTGGTTCTGGAGGTGAGTCCAGGCATTTTCGCCTTTTCCTTTGCATTGCCATTTCTTTACAGGTGTTACTTCCTGAGGAACATGGAGGCTTTCTGTGTTTCTTTCTTCTGAAAGCCCCAGGAGTGGTCAGCTGATTGCTGACCACTGCTGGGCATTTGTCATTTTCTTGCTGAATTTAACGAGACACCCCATGTGAGGAGGCCACACTCACAGCTCAGGGCCTTAGAGTTTGGCTGTAAAATTGTCCAAGAGGATTTTAGGAGCTGCCAGCCAAGTTTTGTTTGGCTAACTGAGAGAACTACTATAAGGTTCCCGTAAAGTTAAGCTTCTCATGAAACACCAGCAGACCAATCAGAAATAACCATGTCTGAGTCACCAGGGATTGCTGATCTGAGGATAATGTACCATGTCTCTGATGAGAGGGCCCACCTATTTCTAATTATTATTTCACTAAAGAAGAAGAGCATTACCATCTGCTTCCAAAGAGTAAGGGATTCTCTGCAACCACCTCCTCCCATCCTCCTGGGACGGGACACAAATCGTTTCTAAAACCACTCTGCTCCAATTTCTTTTTGCCCATAAAATGCAATGCAATGCCTGTTTGCTTACACCTTTCTTCTCAAGCGTCCTCTATCTTTCCACTGTTTTGTCTCAAGTAATCAAGCTTCAGGGACATAGCTTCTCCTTGAAAATTTCATGTGACTGTTAACAAATTGAGTACTTGTGTCCATATTGAGTGTTTCTAGCTCCAAAAGGGCTTGTTCCACAGGCCAGCAATGATATTCTTCATGGACTGTATTCTGGGGCACCTTCCCTCCCTCATGTCAGAAGAAGTCAGGTCCTTACCCAGTCGAACCCTAAAAAAGGGAAGCACTGTCTCAGAATTGCCATTCTCAAAGCAAAGGATGCATTTTTCAGAAATGACAGTTTCAGCTGAATTCCAACAACAGGACACAACAATAAATATAAACATTTTAATTCCAAAAACAAAGGCATGTGCAAGCGATACAGTAGGGATTGCTTGGAGAAGCAGCGCACAGGAGCGCGGGCGAGGGAGGCCAGCGCAGAGGAAAAGCTTTGACTACAGCTGTGCATCACGAGACTCCGGCCTGGCTCTCCACGCTTGCCTTGACCGGATTTCTCAACGCATTGTAAGGTAGTGCTGGGCTCTTTCACAGAATACTGTAGATGTGACTGCATGCACTATCACATTTCTTTCAGAAAAGCTGTTAACTGGTTTTACTTTAACATCTGCATAAATATTAGAAAGAAGAGAGATTTTCGCTACACAAAGACTGAACCTTGGCGCATGGATGGCATGACACATGTCGTTGCTCATTTCTTTTTCATGGTAACGGTGATATAGCAAACGGCCATTAGTTAACATGCAGTTGTCTTATTTTCATCAGGGCAGCGAAGACTTATATGCGCTACTTACTCTACGTGCCTTAAGCTATGACATGGCTTCTGTTTGCATTTTCAGATGCTGAAGTGTTCTGTTCCTCCTATGTCCTGCAGCTCTGGGGCAGTGAGCCCCGAGCCCCGCTGGGGACGAGAAGGCCTGGTGTCCATATTTTCTTTTATCATATGAGATTGTTTTCAAGGACCTGAGATAAAGTTATTTTGATTTCTACAACAGTTCTTGTTTGTCCAAGGGAATAGTCTCACATGGGACACAGAATCTGTTCCTTTTGCTTTGGGAGCGCGCAAGGGAGAAAGAGGTAAAATCTGAAGATTCCATTTCTGCCCTAATTGCATGGCGCTCCTTCCCAGCCCGAGGTCCCTTATTGCTCATCGGAGGCACTTTGCTGGGAGGCGGTGTCGTCCAGGCCCATGTCCTCCTGGCTTGCTCTTCTGCAGATCACCCCCACATTCCCTACCACGGCCTCAGCCAGACGGCGGTCGCGTAGCTGCCCCTGCTCGGTGGTCTCCGTGGGTTCACATGGATCAGAGAAGTGCTTCCAAAGGGAAAAAAAAAACAGCAAGGAGCTCAGCAAATGCTGCTGCCACTGGTTACTTACCCCACTACTGTAGGTACTAAAGCCAGAGTTGTAGGAAGCACAAATGACAGAGGACCAAAGAGTGGCCTTGGAGGAAAGGATGTGCAGTGAAGCCACAGGCCTAACACAGGTGGGGGCTGCCTCTGAATGTAGAGGCCTTTTCTCAGATAATCTGGACCTGCTGGGAAGAGATACCTTGGGAAAAAAGTCACTGTTTGCCTGGCACTCCTGGGTTCGGGTCAGCGTTATTTCATTTCCATTCAGCTCCTGTCACCAATGCTAAGCCCCAAAGATTTGGCCCCAAACAGTAATAATTTTTATTTTGGATGCAAGGACTCAATTGTCCTTGTTAGAAAGGATTTGCCAGAATCCGAGAACTACACCCACGGGTTGTCTTAAAGACAGAGTGGGGGTGGGAGAAAGGTGTGATATTTTGTGCATTTTTATTAAGGAACTGAAAAAAAAAAAAAGTTAGCTATCTAACTAAACTTAGTCCAAACTTCTGATGTAATCACTTTCCCTGCTCTTGACTGGTGTGACCTGGGGATCCAGGAAGAGACCCTGAAGCCTGCTCTGGAAGGTGGCACACCATTACTGAAAACCCCAAGGCTCTCTTTAGGCTGGTTTGTGCCAGCTTGATTTTCCAGGGGCCTGCATGTGCCTGCTATATAGCTCCACTTTTCCCTGAGGGAAGAGAGAACAGTATCTCCACCACCCACCTCCAAACACCTACCCCAGAACCAGAGTCCATCGGACTGTGAGCCTCGTGCTTTTTAAAGAGCATGGACTGAGGGCAGGGAAGGTGTGGACAATCAAACAGAGCCTGGGAAACCTCCAATCTGATATCAATTTTTGACTTAGTGTCTCATTTTTTCCCTCCCAACCAGAGCACATAAGAAAACTGCTAGGTATTTACCTATGCGCCACCTCAGGTCAGCTAGCAAAGAACTCTGGATCAGTAACAGTTTATTTGGGTGAAGTCCTTAAAACTCTAAATACATAACAAATAGAAGGCTGTCCAGAACTTTCAAATTAAATCTGGTGCATAGGAATTGATAATAATATAATCAGGGAGGGTGGGGGTCCTTTCCTCTCCCTCAGTGAAGACTAGTGTAGAAAGAGAATGAAGTATGACTTGGCCCTGCTGTGTGGGTGAGTGAACATTCCCCCACATCGGGAACCCCCATAACATGTGCCTGTTGTTATATCTTATAGAGCTGTGCTTCGGAGAACAACTAACTGTCTCCTGTCAGTTACATATGTCACGCTGGTAACCCTGTGGAGAAGGTGGTAGGAGTCCAAGCAAGCAGTGCATAGGGGTCCTTAGGCCCAGGGCCCACACAAACACCCTGGTCCACCCCATGAAACCCCTTACCCGTGTGGCCTGGCTGGAGGCCCTGGCCGAGGGGCCCATCACGATGTTGACACTGCTGGATGACTGGGTGTCACTGGTGTTGCCCCCCTCTGCAGCAGAGAGGCCAGAAATGACAAGCGCGCTTGAGAAGCTCCTCTTGCCAAAGAGGAAGCTCAGAGTGGAGCTGGTGGACGAGCCCAGGCTGGACCTGATCAGTGCCTCAGCCCGCTCCCGCACGCTCAGGTGGCCCGTGGTGGTGACCGGCGGGGGCTGAGAGTGCAGGGACGTGGTGGAGGTGTGGAAGGAGGGCCGGCTGCCCGAGAGCCGCTGGGCTATGTCGTGGACCGATGTGGATGTCTGGAGGAAGGCCTGGTGGCTCTCTAGGATGGGGCCCGATGAGCTCAGGATGGGCGGCCTTTGGCTTAATGTCCCATGTGCCTGGACAGATTGACTCCTGCCTTTTCTCCTGCCTTTAAAAGAAAGGAGAACAGGTTGCCACATAGGTGGTCATAGACATCGGCGCTTGCGCAGTAAGGTGGGTGTCAGGGACCTAGAAGCCTCACTGCTGTCAAGCCCCAGAGCAGGACGCACCACCATGAGTCCCTGAGGACAGAACGGCTCACCCAAGGGTGCCTCACGGCCCTGGGTAGGATGGGAGGTGGTGAAATGGGGAGCGCAGGGAAGGTGGGCTTTCTGGTTGCCCAGGACTTCCCAGCTTTTAGCAGTGAAAGTCCTGCGTCCCTGGGAGCCTCAGTCCCAGGCAAACGTCAGCCTCATATCTTGGCCTCATAAAGCAAATTTCATTTTGTTCCTGTGTCAGGATCTGAGATCCAATCCTCATTTGTTAAAGGGACAGAGGAAACACACACAGTTCATTTTTAGTTGCCTAAAAATAAAAATAAAAGAGGACAGGACTACATGCTGGACTGTTTTCTGTTTTTTTTTTTTTTCCTGAAGATCAAGGTCTTTAAGAGGATGTGCCACAGACCCCTAGGGCTTGCCTGGCGTACAGTCCATGTCTAGGTCTGTGTCTACATGTCTAGCACCCGCTGTAGCTCCAGAGCCTACTGGCCCCCAGCTCTGACTGAGATTTGTAAAGACAGTGTGGGTTTTTTTTTTTTTTAATATCTTTTTTTCTTTTTTTTTTTTTAGAGAGGCATGTTTTTATTTATTTATTTATTTGTTTGTTTTGTTTATACAAGCACTGGGTACAGTCAGAAGCGCGGGAGGGTGAGAATTCACCAGAGCCAGAGCGGGGAGCAGAGCAGGCAGAAGAACCGAAGTACACTGCTGAGGGGAGCAGCGGGCGGCAGGAGAGGTCTGCGCGCCATGCGGGACCCTCCTCCGGTGGCCGGGGAGCAGCCGGGGATCGAACCGGCGCCGCAGAGGCCGCGGGCAGCTTCGCAACCCAGCGCTCAACCGCTGCGCCACCGGGGAGGCCCCAAGACAGTGTGGGTTTTAAAGAAAAGGAGAGGACTGCCCCGAAGATCAGGAGCTGACCACGTCTCTCAAAGAAGGATGCCTTAAAGTGCATGCTGGGGCCTCCCCGGTGGCGCAGCGGTTGAGCACTGGGTTGCGAAGCTGCCCGCAGCCTCTGCAGCGTCGGTTCGATCCCCGGCTGCTCCCCGGGCACCGGAGGAGGGTCCCGCATGGCGCGCAGACCTCTCCTGCCGCCCGCTGCTCCCCTCAGCAGAGTACTTCGGTCCTTCTGCCTGCTCTGCTCCCCGCTCTGAATTCTCTCACCCTCCCACGCTTCTGACTGTACCCAGTGCTTGCATAAATAAATCAATCTTTAAAAAAAAAAAAAAGCGCATGTCTGCGAGGCTCTGTGGACTAAGCAGTCAGGAGGACAGCTGGGCCAGAATGCCGAATTGTTTCATTTAAGCATCGGGGATTACAAGGGTCTAATTTTAAAGCACTGTTTTGGAGGAAACAGCTAGTGATGTCACAGTTCCGTCAGTTGCCTTATTGATGTGCTCCCGAAGCTGCTCCAATTAGGCATTCAATACATAAAATGGGGGGGCTAGATTGGGCGTCCCAAATGACTGTCCTGTGCATTTTCTCATGTTCCACCTCACACCACAGGCCCAAATTATAACAGTGCGTCCTGTGAGTCTAAATTATTTATGTGTGTCTGCAGCAGAACTTGATAACTGACATATCTTTGGAGGGATAACTCCTGAGGGAACAAATGTGAATATGGAGATTCCAGGCTTGCCTCCAGACCTGCTCCTCCCACAGCAGCTAACTGGCTGGAAGGGCCCATCCTCTTAACGTGATGGTCTGTTTCCAGAGGGTCTGGGTGTCTCCACCTGCTCCCTCTTGCCCATACGCTGAAAGAAAGGGTGCCCCCCATGGTGCTGCTCCCTGGGATGAGTGTGGGCAGGGGGCTCTCACTCAGGCTGGAGCCCATCTTTAAGTTCTCTGCTGAATAGCTGAATAAATGACTCCTACAGAGCAAAAAAAAACGAGGGCCCTGACGAATCAGAATTAAGAACAGAGATGGTGATTTGTTAGTTTATTCAGAGCTTGGCAAGGCGAAACATCTGTTTGTGATTTATACTGTTACGCTGATTGCTGTCCAAAAATACTCCACATTCATCCACAAGGCAGTGATTCTGATGCAGGGAAAAGACCACCCGCACTGAGTGGGGGAACTTCTCGGGTAATTCCAGAAACAAAGGGACAAAGACCCATCTGTGTCAAAGGGGGATGGTCTATGTTCTATGTAAGATAAGGACAAGCCTGGCACCCGCCCCTCTAATTCCATGGCTTCCGATTTTCTTGTTTTTTTGGGTCACTCTTGATTTTTTAAAAAACAATTACTTTTGAAAAGGGGCCAAGTAAAGCAAGCCATGTTCGAAGCATTTATGCTACTCAGGATCATTATTTTAAAATTTAACTTACTCTGCCAGTTACCTCATTATCAAATTATGAGTGTTTCTAGGGGAAATCTCCTTCGGTTCAACCTGTGTTGAAATTCCATATAAATTACTCTCCTCGGTTCATTATCCTGGCACTGTTCCTGTGCCTCTGATTGCCGTCTGACAGGTTGTACTGCACATCCTCCAAGTCCTTACCAAGAGGACAGCGAGGTCTTGCTCTCCAATCTGGCATCCAGATCAGTCATGAATTCCTACTGCTCTCATAAGTAGGGGGCTGGCCTCTACCACTGGGCCCCATCCCCTCCCAGCTGGGACATACACTTCTTGCCCCAGGTTGTCAGGTCATAGCTGAGGCTGCCTGGTGCACTCCAAGCAGAGGGCATGAGAACACGCCAGCCCTGCATGACATGTGGGCACCTGGGGACAGCGCACACATAGGATGGCTGGCCTTAACAGAGGTCCTGCTTATCGGGGCTCAGGATCCCAGTTGTCCAGGAGTTTGGCCAGCGCCCAGGATTGGGATACCAGCTGAGAACTGAGGAGGGTCCCCAATTATGTGAATTGAGCCATGGGCACTATGAGTAAAACAAGATCCCTGTCCTTAGACTCTGGTTCATGTCCATCCTTCAGTCACTGCCACCTGGCTAAGTTTCTCATGTGCGCTATCTGGAGAGCCAGGCCCTCCGCCTGCAGCCCCTAGGGATGCCCCTGCATGGCACTTAGCACACAGGTCCTGTTTGCTATACGAACTCCGTGGTGCTCACCACCTTCACCGACAGAGGACGACTGCATCCTTTCTACAGGCTCAGCACGTAACATACTCACTGGCAAATAAGAGACACTGGGGACCAACCTATAAAACTGTCCTTTTGCTCCAACCTAGAAATTTTCAAATCCCTGTTTTGGAGCACAGTTAACCCCTGAAGTTTGGGGTGGGTACTACAGAGCTTCTTAACCTTGGCCGTTAGAACAATTTGGGAGGCTTAAAAAAAGCTTTGACCAGTACAGCCAAGCACCTGCCAATTTTAAGTAAACCGTCTCTCTCTTGGCATCCCCTTGAATGGGAGTTTAAGCTCCAGCCCTGGGCAGTTGCCCCCACCATGAATGTTTTGCTTATGCTCCCCCACCCACTGTGAAGCGCCTCAGTTTGCTTTAGCAAAGACTCACATCACAAGTGTTCACCCAAGTGGAGTCCCACAGCTGCTGAAGTGAGGGATGCCAGCCATGTCTATGTCCCCTGGAGTTGGGCAGGGTGGGAGAGGACTCATACCCACCCCCCAGACCCTCCTTTGGGGGCTATAATACAAATAGTCTGAAAAGGTGGCTTGTCTGCAGCACTTGTCACCTGTCACAGGGCCACTCAGTTATCCTGGTGCATCTAGTGACACCCTGGATGGTTTCTAGGCAGAGGATGGCCTGCAGGGGAACATGACAGTCAGGAAAGGCATAGTCTGCTGCCCTCTGGGATCCCCTTCTTCCCCAGATCATGCCAGCTTGGTGCACGTGGGGCCTATCCCCATGGCATCACCAGAACAGCATTTGGTTTAGGTTTCCCAAAGAACCTTCTGAAGATATAAAATTGGGTCCCTGGAGGGATTCTGGGGGTGAAGGGATTCATGGTACCAAGGACAAGCCAACAGGATCAGCAACTCTTGTCTCTGGAGCTCTCGGCTGTGAGAAAACAGAAGCTGGCTTCAGCTGAAGTTGCACTTGGGAATTCTGGGACCCAAGAACTGCTCCCCTCACCCTTTAGCCAAGCCTTAGAGGGCAGCTGAATCTAGCTCTTCTGCATTTGGAGGGGGCCATGCTCTTTCACTCAACCCATGTCTGCTAAGCACAGAGCCATCTGAGATGGGAGCAGCCACCTGGCCTAGCACTTAGGAGACCCTGCTGGGGTCCTCCTGCCACATCTCCCCCAAGGAGACAGGGGACATGATGACCTACCCCTGCTACACACTCCTGCTAGGCCATGCTGGGTGTCTGGCTCCAGAATTTCCTATCCAAACTCAAAGGCTGCACAGGCCTCTTTCCCAGGCTTCTCTCCCAGGGTAAACATTGGGCCTTCCTCAGCTGTGTGCACCCCAGGGACCAAGGCAAGGACAGGGTATGGATGGTGTGGCCTACACACATGCACAAGGCCCCTCCCCAAGCAAGATGGAGCAGGGGAAGTGAGTGGGCCATGTTTTCCATCCTGTTCCCTGCAGACCCTGCAGAAGGGAGGGCCAGCCGAACTGAGTGCCCACTGCATGCTGAGCTGTCCTAGGTGCAACTCACAGGCCCTGACCATGGACAGGTAGACACGGTGATTGGTGGGGCAGGGCAGGGTGGGGCTGGCCAGGGGCCTTGCTGATCAGTGGCATCTGATCAGAGGGTGAGTGAGTGAGCAAACGACTGTGCCGTTTTGGGGAAACACATTAGAGTGGGAGGAAGCAGCAACGCTGAGTCCCAGGGGAGGACAGGGACAACTTGAGCCAGCAGGAGGGGATAGGAGATGCCAGGAGAGAGAGAGAGCAGGCCATGGAGAGCCCGGGGGGCCAAGTGAGTGCTAAACTGTGATCTGCTCCCCATTTTGCAGCAGCTGAAGTCCTGGCCTCCGGGACCTCAGGAATACGATCTTATTTGGAAATGGGGCTGTCGCAGGTATCACTAGTTAAGAGGGCACTACTGGAGGAGGGCACGCCCTAATTCAAGCTGACTGCTGTCCTTGCTAGAAGGGGGAGTTTGGACATAGACATGCACGCAGAGAGAACACCATGTGAAGATGAAAGGCAGAGAGGGGGGAATGCTGCCGCAAGTCAAGAACAACAAGGATCACCAGAAACCAAAAGCTAAGGGAGAGGCCTGGAACTGGTCCTCCTCCCGACCCTCAGGAGTAACCAATTCTGGCCACACCTCAATCTGGGACATCTGGCCTCCAGAACTGTGAGCCAGTGGATCCCTGCTGCGTAAGCCATTCCGTCTGTGCTGCTGGGCTACAGCTTCCCCTGCAAATGCACACAGGTTTATTCTAGATGGGAAGCTGATATTCAATACAAGAATGGCCGGAACGATTTAAGTTAAAGGGAGATCACTCTGGCAGTTACATGGAGAGATTCGTGATTTTGTGCATTTGTCAGGGCTGCGTGAACAGAGAGGAAATGGAAAACAGCAAGAGGTAAGTTCTTCCTTTATCTGAGGTGGGGAGGATGGTAGGCCCTGGCCCATCTCCCCCTCCCTGACCAGCTCCCTACCCTCTGTGGGCCCCCATCTCAGGATAACACTCTGCAGGCATGCCAGCTGGCTGAGCAGAGGGGTACCCATGGCTGCCTCTTGCCCCGTCCCTTTTCCCTGCCCACCATGATGACCTAAAGGAACCCTGGCTGGCTGCTTTAGGAAGAACTGGATGCCAGCTTTGCCTACTCTCAGGCCAGAAGGAAATCTACTGGCAAGAAGAGCCCTTGCCAGCCAGGAGACAGGACACAGTCAGGCGCAGCAGTGACACCGCCAGCAGCACAGATGGTGCACTGGGAGCGAGGGCAGCAGCTGCACCAGTTCATCCCCAAGCTTGGAGACAAGGACAACCCTTAATGAGAAGAGGCAGCTTCCCAGGCAGGGTGAGGCAGCATGGCATGGTGATCAGGTTCTCCTTGCCTGGGTACAAATCCCAGATCAACTGCTTAATGGCTGGGGTGCTTAGGGTAGTGACGTAACTTCCCTATGTCCCAATTTCTTCAGCTGTGAGATGATGAGAGAGAGAGGGCCCATTTCCTAGCATCATGGTGAAGATGAGGTAAATTTACACTTATAAACCACTCCAGATGGGTCTGGCACATAGTAATGCTGGAGAGCTGTGTGGTAGCATAACGTGAGATCACTTCCACCAAGATGTGGTAACCACGACCCGTGTGCACAGAAAGAGCAGGGCCAGCAGCATGGAGAGTTTGTGTCAGAGCTTCGCAAAGTCCCCAAGGGGAGGACAACTGGTCTTAGAGGCTGGGCCTGCCTCAGGCTGCAGGTGGGAGCCACCAGCAGGAGGGCAGGGAGCACTGGCCACCAGCTATGTCTCCAGGCAAGCCCGTCACCTTGCAGAGCATGGGAAGTCAGGAGTGGGCTTGGTAGGAGCAATTTTATAGGAGCAATAATAAAAAATTAACAGCTGCTTTGGGCTCTAGCTGGACTTCAACATCACAGGAGTCTGTGATTGCTCCTGGCTGCAAGTCTCTGGTTATAGATGGGGGGAGTATTCAGTACCTACAGCATGTGAGTTCTGGGGAGAGGAAGGAAGCCTAGCTTTTTCCAGGCTGGGCAGTGCCAGCCTTTGGTCACTGAGTCAGAAGCTCACCCCACATGCCAAGATTCTCTGACTCTTTTAAAAGCCACACCTCTGCCTCTCGACCACTCCAGCTTTTCTCTGGTTCAGACAAGCCACCTGGACAGTATTGTGCTAGCAAAAGCTAAATATAAAGGCATGTCTCCACTTGGAACCTGCTTTGCATTTTCCTATCTGGAAGATCACTTATTTGATTCTGAAACTTAAATTTCTCAAGTGATAACCACGGTTAAGTAAGCAACAGGAAACTCTGGCTGAGAGCTAGCCATACACTGTAGGCCTGTGGCAGGGGCAGGTGCTCTGCTCAGGGTTCAGGACAGATGGCACCCACTGGGGAAAGGGTCCTTTTATCCCTGTGAACAGTTAATGTCAACTACTTTGCCCATCTACCTATTTACCCACTGCCCTCCCTGCTCTGTCTTTCTGTCTCCCTTCCTTCCTCTCTGCCATCTATCTTCTCCCCACTCCTTCTCTCATCCAATAGCTTGCTGTCTGTCTTTTCTTCCATCCATCCATCCAGCTACCATCCTGCCCATGTCCCATATGTACATAAATCTAAATTATTTCAGTTAAATAATTACTTCCCTGCTTACTTCCAGGAGGCATGGCCTGTTCCTTGCTGACTCACTTAGTGCAGAGCTGGCAGGTAAAGCATACACAAAGGTTCTTAATAAATGTTCTGGATGGTGAGGAAGCAAGTACTGGAGCCAGGAGGTGAAACCCCTGGCAGGCTTTGAAGGGTAAACCCCAGCACTGATGTCTCGGAGGTGAAGGTGGGGGGAACCAGGGCAGAGCTGTCAGTCCTGCATCTGCCTGGGGATGTCCTCCAAAAGCCCTCAGGGCCACCGGGTCTAACCCAGGGGCCACACCACCCCCGACAGTGGAGCAGCGTTTTGGAACCTCATCCATCTGGTCAAGTCTAAGTAGGCAGGTGTTTGTTTAAATGTGATTTTAAACTATAATGTCAAACTAACTTGGACTAAGGCACACCGTCCATTCCTGTCTGCTGGCACCTACCTTCTCTTTTCTTATCCTCTGAAATGTCAGGTGAAAGGAGAGGAAGGTGGGATCTAGAAAGAAGCAGGAAGGGAAGGCAGGAGGCTTGTCTGAGCACCCCACAGACGTAGAGAGGAGCGGGATGGACTCACAGTCAGACAAAACACTGCCATGGATCAGCAGCCAGACACAGAAGGTGCCTCACCAATGAGGGAGAGATGGGAAGGGCAGGTGGATGGACAGACGGATGGGTGGCTAAAGTCACAGATAAACAGATGGAGAAAGGATAAAAGCTGAATCTAACAGTTTTGTTTTAAGCAGGACCTACAAGTCAGTAAATCTGGGGCATCCTCTGGCCCAATACTGATTTTTCTGGCAAGAAGTTCTCAGATGTTAGAATGTCAGCATAACCCATGGCATTTGTCACGGGGACCAAAGGAAATTTTATCAGTAACCATGAGGCACCCACCTGTCCTCCGTGTCCCTTCACGAGGTGACCAGTGGTGGTTTCCCTCTTTTCTGGGCTGTTCTGTGCTGCTCTCCTGACTCTCCCCACTTGGGGCGTTGCTCCCCCCTGTGGATGGAGCCTCTCCTCCATCCACATCTTCAATGTTGCCACTGTTCTGCTGGCCAGCATCACAGTCCTTCCGCATTCTGCGAGAGGAGAAACACTTCTAAAACCCTTAAACGCCCTACCACATCCATGTCTAAATCAGGGTTGAGACCACACTACATTGTACAGGTGAGCAGCACACCTGGCTTGCAGGTGGAGAGTGGGGGGGCATCTCTTTCCCAAACCTCAGGGTCTAATAAATATGAATAAACTGCACCAAGATGTCAAGTAGCAATCTCCATCTTCCACAAGAGCCCTGAGCTCTAAGAACCAATGAGGACTTCTGTCATATTCTGGCAAAACTTCTTAGAATTCATTAACTAACCAGAGACATTATTACAACCAGGTAAGAAGACTTAGTGGGTGAGGTGAGCGCTGGGGGGCTCAGGCCTGGATCTGTGTAACAGATGTATGGCAGCTCCTCCAAAAGGCCCATCACCTTCACAGCCCCCGAAAACCCAAGCCCAACCCCCAGGGTGTAGAGTTCGAGGAAAATAGATTCTAGAAAATAGTGCATGAGGTTTCCCATTGATTCACAGTCTGAAACTGCTGGTTGAAACAAATGATTTGTTAAATGACACTTGGGTAGACACTTTTAATCAGATGAAAGAAAAAAATATGAAATTCTAACCAGAAGTAGCATGCTCTCCATGCCCTCGCCCCCCGCCCAGCACTCCACAGAGGTCTCTATCCTAAAGACCGACCTTAACAGCTTGGTTCGGAGCCACGTGCTGATGCAGTCCAAAGTGAGGGGGCCGCTCCAGACATTCTTCAGTTGCCTGTGGGTCCCTAGATAGGATGTGGTTAGCGGGGAGACATACATGGGGTACCCCAGGGGCTGATCACAGGAAGAATTAATCAAGTTTCGGAGGACCTGCTTATTGTTCTGGATGCTGCCGCGCTCCGGGTTGCGGTTCCGGAGGAAGATGAGCTCTTGCTGCTGTCCAGCCCAAAGTCCTCGGACACATTCTTTGTTAACCTGGAGGTCAGGGAAGGAGCAGGGAGAAGAGCAGATGGCAGTCTGTTGGCTTTATTCCACACTGAGTGAGCAGGGCTCTGGGGCTGAATATCTATCGCTACAACATTTTGGCCTAAAGCTATTTACATAGTCAAGCTAGACAGGCAGCCCTACAGGACTGATCGGAAGCCATTTTCATGGGGAAACAAAGGGAACATAAAAAGAAAGTCAGTCTTTGTTAGACTTTCTGAAGTTAGTCTTCAGCTCACTGATTTGAAGCTACAGGAAAAGAAGGAAGGAAGGAAATGTTTGGGTCCAGAAATAGGTTATAGAGAAAGGTCTAGAATTTTAGAGCAATTTAGAATGACAACGTAATAAATTTATTTCAGAAAATACTCTAGAAAGTCTTTTAAAAAGGTAGATGCTGACCCTCATCTACATGTGCATCTTTCCAAAGCCCCTGCCTACATTCTGGTTCTCTGTGGTGGGAAATGACCCTGGCAGGGGAACGCTGCCCCACCAGCTCAGTGACCACCTCTGCTTGCTGGTCAGTGGTCCTCCGAGACCACATGGTCCTCCGAGACCACCCTGAACAGGGCATGCTGGTGCTGGACATGAGCATTACATGTCCCCTACAGAGAAGACTCATGCCAACCCAGGAAGAATGGCCACTGTACCTTGATCACCTTGAAGCTCAGGAAGCTTCTGTGGAGCATGATGACCTTGTACTCATCAGTGCCCTCGTCTACCACGTGCCGCAGGGTGAGCAACTCTTCCTTGTTGGAGAGCACTGCACCCCTCCAGGCTGGGTCACCCTCATGGCAGATCACCACCTTCTTCTCAAAGGACTGGATGGCTTCATAGAGGACCACAGGGTCTTCATACTCATCTGGGCAAGTGAACTGGTCCTGGAGAAAGACAACCATCTGTGTGCTCAGTGAGGGCTGAGAGCTGACCCTCAGCGATGTGCACAGGAGACAACCTGACCAGTCACTGGCAAAGCTATGTCCGTGTCCAGGTCTTACTCTCCTCCCTGCTCTTGTTCTGAATTCTGAGCTGGAGAGAGGTCATCTCTTCATCCTATTTGTTGCCCTTACTGCTAGACACCTAGGGAGACAGCTGTGTGGCTTGGGTGCCCATGCCTTTTGGATACATTTTGGAGACTTCTGATGTGTCCTATTTCCCTCTTCCATCCTAATGGAATATCATCTCCTAGCAGCTCTAGAGAGGAAACTGCCTTGGGTCAGTGTGAAGACTACCCAGACAGCCTGCTGAGTTACCCAAGTAATAAACACACTCTCAAGTGTCAGGACTAGAAAGGGAAATGCATTTTTCAATGTTCTTTCCTAATGTCTCAGACCTGGTCTTTTTATAAAAATGAACTTTTACCTGGTGAAGCTTCAGTGACATTCTGATAGCTGGAGCGACCACCTTATGCAGCAGGTCCATGTCTGCAAAGACCCACTCGTCTCGTGCTGTGATTCGAAAGTCTCCTTTGAAGAGCGTGTGGAGACCATACAGGAAGGAATCCAGACTGCAAAGCAAAGTCTGAATTACTGGCCATTCACACTGAGCAAATGGTGTTCATGATCCTGTCTCTTGGAGCAAGGTCTGCGTCTCCCGTGTGTCACATCAAGAAGAATCATCGGGGGCTTCCCCGGTGGCGCAGCGGTTGAGCACTGGGTTGCGAAGCTGCCGGCGGCCTCTGCCATGCCGGTTCAATCCCTGGCTGCTCCCCGGCCACCGGAGGAGGGTCCCACATGGCGCGCAGACCTCTCCTGCCGCCCGCTGCTCCCCTCAGCAGTGTACTTCGGTCCTTCTGCCTGCTCTGCTCCCTGCCCTGGTTCTGGTGAATTCTCTCACCCTCCCGCACTTCTGACTGTACCCAGTGCATGTATAAACAAACAAACAAACAAACAAACAAATAAATAAATAAATAAACATGCCTCTATTAAAAAAAAAAAAAAAAGAATCATCGGGTCTTCAGGCTGACCCAGAGTGGCTGCACTATACACCTGATCCTGCAGCCCACATCTGGACCTCCCCACACTTGGGTTGGTGGTCTTCTTCAGCAATTTTTAGAACCACTGCAGCCATCACTAAATAAGATGGTAGACACTCGGGTCAAAATGCACACTCCTAAAATCAGAGCAATTGTGACAACATACTCTATTCTGATAATCCCACTTCCCAGGAAGGAGTGGGGTGAACTGTGGGATTGCCCAGGGGCTTTTACTTTTCCTCTTTTTATTTCTGGATATTACTTTTGGGTTATGTTACTCATAATACACATGGGATTCTACCATAATATGGAGAAAGAAAATGAAATCTCAAATCAGCCATTTCGAGTCTCAGAGAACATCTGGTTCCCAGCCCAACCCATTTTGAAATGACTACTGAAAGAGACATGATACAGAGGATTAAAAGGAATGACAAAGAATTTTTCACATTTTTGTGTTTCTAGGTTTTTCCTGCTTTGCTTTCGTTTGCATGTAACTGAGTATTGCCTGGATCAAGAACACAAAACTCACTCAAGGGAAATCTTTCAGAGCATGTTTTTTTTTTAGATTTTGGATAAGCATAGCTTGGGAAAGTGACTCACTCCGTATTGTGAAGAAAGGAAGAAGGGCTCTTTCTTTTTTTTTCCCTTTTCTTTCCCTGAATAGACTGGTTCATAGCTGCCTGAATGACCCTGGCCTCTAACATCCCAGAGAGATAGTTAGGAGGCAAGTACAAGAAACAGCATCCCAGATAGGGGCTGAACTGGGACAGAATGAACAGGAAAATACGTGTGAAACAGACTCTCCAAGGATGGTTGCTCATAAGGATTTAATGAGTTGGCTCACTGAGCAAGACTTTTGATTCAACATAGCACATTAGACCTGCACATCAGGGAAATAGATCCACTGATTACTCTTTTAGCATTTTGTTGTGAAATGTGCCACTATCATTAATTTCTACCTAGAACTCCCTTGAGAGAGACACTGAGACTTGTAGTCAGAGCAGACTGTGGGAAACGGAAGCAGCCAGGGCCTAATCAGGTGGGACTACAGGACCCTGTGGCAGGAGGAGCCTGGAACCTTCCAGAGAATGTTCCAGGAGGAAGCCTTCTTGAAAAGGCTCTCCCATCCCAGAACAAAGACTGTGAGCTTTAGCTCACTGGGGGTTGTGAGCTTTAGCCACTGTACTAGAGGAGAGTAATGGAATGGCAGGCTGCATTAGGGTGAATATCCAGAGCAGAAGCCTTCAAAGAAGTTCTCTGTGCTCTCAGTGGGAACCATTTAGCAATATTCCTGCCATCAGGTCGAACCTAAGTACAGCAAAGGGAGAGCTAAATTGTAAAAAATAAATAAATACACACATAAATAAATAATTTTTTTAAAAGATGGGTGAGGTTTCTTTTGGAAAAGATGGGGAATGCCATGCTGCTTGCAGACACGTTAAGAGAAAACACTCCCATGAAGGTAAAGGAAGATTAAGGGATTTGCACAAATATTCAGAGCAACATCTGCAGACAAAAGAGAAGAGGAAGGAATTCAGGGCATCATCCCATAGCAAGTGCATGGCCACCCCAGCCACCTTCTTATCAGGAGAGAAAACACACTTCCCCAAAGCCTCCCTAAAGCCAGTAAGCTCCCCTGCCAGACCCCAACGATAGATGCTTTACTTGTCATTTCTGTCTTTGGAGAGATTGACACGCTGTAGCACTCAAAGCTGCTCTATTCAATAAAATGAGTCTCAATATAGCAAACTCAAAATGGTGTTCCTCTAGATTGGGGGTATTATCCTTAGTACCTTCAAGGCAAAAGCATCCTAAAAGTGAGGTGTTTCATTATCTGCCTTTCAGAGACTGAAAAGGAGGAAAGCAGAGAGAGGTGACAAGCTGGGAGGGAGAGAGCAGACATCTCTGGAACACCTGCAGTATTTCTGACTCAGAGCTTCAGAGGGCTTTGTCTTTTTAATACTCTACCTAGACATGACAGGCTCCCACCCCCAGGTCAAGAGCTGGAGTGGGGATATAGTGTTACAGCTCATCCAGGCAAGGTTGGACTTCATGGGGACTAACACAGCCTCACCCAGCTTTTGCTGGGATAGACCCAGCGTCCCACCTGATGATGTTAATGAAGGAGGTCTCTAATCCTTCTGTCATAGGGTTTGTTGGCCAGGCAATCAGCAATGCAGGGACAACCACATCCAGCTGTGTGAGATTAACATAGGGCACAGGGCAGGGGAAACTCCAGAAGAAACGTGTCATGTAAACATACCCACACAGAGGAAACCTGGCGCCTCATATGTGCTCAAATTTTAATAAATAAGAACAGCACTAGTAAAATATTGCTCCTTAATATGATGATGAGTAGCTGATACTTGAATACATTTTCTTTTTCATGGAAAAGGCTGGTATGCATTGTTTAGACTCTAACTCTGCCCTACTCAACCCAAGAACAAATCTATGCCTTCGACCCTTCACCTGCATCCATCAGAAGGGACCATGGCTGCATTGCTTCCTTGCTAGTCTTCTGTCCCTTTTTTGTAGGATTTGATCCAGAGTCAGTAAAAGCAGTGACCTTGCCTTTGTCACAGAGTGTGCATGTCTGTGTGCACATGTGTATGCCTGCATGTGCATATGTGTTCACATGTTTATTCAAAGGATTCCCAGCTTTTGCTGGAATAGACCCAGCAGACACCAATGACCATAAAGATATGTTCCAGTGACCCTCTGATTGTAGTAACTCCTGTTCTTGTCTTTCTGGATCCTGATCCTGTTTCCTATTATATGATGATTCAACTTCTGATGAGGAGTATAGATGAGTGACTGTTTTCTGGCTTGAGATTAGCTGTTGTTCTCAGAGCTTGTCACAGCTACTGCTCTCACTTGCATTTGACCAAGGCTTATGCTTTAACAGGTGTGGCCCATTCCAGCATCCTCATTCATCCACCACCTTTCATGGGCGATGAGAATTTGAAGACAGTCAGTGGATACAGAAGTTGTTTCACTCTCTTGTATCTCATCTTTCTTTATCCACATAGCTTTATTTTAGCCAGAGGTTATCTATGCCCTTGTAAACCCTACTTTTGTTTCAAATCATTGACCAACTCTGCTCACTTATGGCCTGCACCCTTTCTCACCGGTTCTCAACTAGTTCTCAATTTTGGCTCCCAGGGGACATCTGGCAATAACTTTATGATGTCATTTTTCAAACCACTTACGAATTTCACAACCAGAGAGGGTGATTTTAGCATCTAGTGGGTAAAATTCAGGCAGGGATGCTGTTTCAATGCACAGAATAGCCCCTGATAATAAAAATCCATACAGCCCAAAACTTTAATAGTTCTGCTGCTGAAAAACTCTGGCTTTTAGCAAAATAAAAAAAAAAAAGAATGCCATAGGGAGACACATATTTTAATATTTTGACAATGGAGTCATTATTTTGGATCCAGTCTTCAGGAATCATACAAGTCAGAAGGAAATAGCCCTAACACTAGGGTCAATGCAGGTCTTGACGATGGGCTCTCTGGAACAAAGAATGATTTGTTTAATTCAGTTTCTTTCCTAACAGGTACACTATGTGTTTACAGACAGGCAATGCAAAGAGACTTCTGCTATAGTGCACTGCCATGAAAGGATGGTTTGCAGAACACATGCAAACAATTAAGTGTGATTTGCAGGCTGGATTTTCCATGTTTGCTATTAGTAATGGAGATGCTCAGGAGTATGTGCTTGTTTACCTAAGTCAGGGTCCCAAGCTCAGAGCATCTTGACCTCGGGGACAGCAGCCTGCGTCATGTATGCTTCACTCCCCACCCCAGCATTCAGTAGCTGGGCACTGGTCAATTTCATCACTCCTAAACACACTTTCCTGCTAAAGTTCCCCAAGCAAAAACAGCAATGCAGGTGACTAGTACCACCTTTGATCAACTAGAAATGAGCTAGTAAGGACAGTACATTTTTCTGGTGATTTCTGGAAGACTGACAACTTCCTCTCCCATCAACTCTTCTCAGCCTCACGAATGCCTGTACATGGTATGTGGGTTCCTATGAGCTGGCTAGTAACTGGCCACTCATGGGCAACTGTGACCTATTTGCTATCTGCAAATCACAGCAGAGAATTTCTTGATTACCTATGGAGTATAGCCACTATCACAAGGACGGCCTGAGAATACCTAGGCTGCTGTTGACCTGATTACATGACTATCTCCATGGCGGTCTCAGGATAATTCCGACTGTGATAACATCGAATACTTTGCTAATGCAATTGTCTCCTGATTTATGGTCATGATGTTCCCTTCCCTGTCCCTCGTAAAACTTTGTCCCCCATTCTAATCCTACCCTCCGGACTTGTTTCCTCATACCATTGTCGCATGATCAGCTGTTACTAGCCTGCATGCTTTCAATAAATGGCACATGAACTTCTGCTCAAGAAGCAGGGTTTTGCCTTGCAAGCCTGCTCCACGACTGCTGTGTCCCTTATCATGTTCCTGTCGCAAAGCGGCAACAAAGTTCCTGTCGCAACAAAGGTATATTATTATATT